GAGGCGAGAGGCGGCTGGTGGAGCCCTTCTCGGAGGGGCAAGGAGAGAGAGTCAACCGCCAAAAAATGACGAAAAGAAACAATTAACCCCGAAAATTAAAAAGAAGTCCCCAGAACCCACGGCCAGACGAAGAAAGCGAGCGGGCGAGAAGAGGAGCGGCGCAAACAAAACAAACCCAAAGCAAACCCCTTTCCTCGCACTGGGGGAAGAAAAAAACATCCACCCCTCCGCAAAACTTTCTCTGGCAGCGAGCGGCCCTCGCTCCCTCCTCACGCCCAATCCACGATCCGCGGGCCGGGCAGCGCCGCCCGCCGACACGCCCACGCCGGGCCGGGGCTGCCTTCGCCGCCGCGCCCACAGCGCCCGCTCCGCGCCCCGGGACCGCGATCGGAGCGGTCTGCCCCACAGAGTACACCCCAACACACGCCTATAGCCCCTTAAATTGAGCTCTCGACTTTGAAAAACCACTTTTCCCCTTTCCCCCCAAAAACACAGCGCAAAGTCGCCGCGCTTGCTGCCACGGCGATTTCCAAACGTTTGAAAGAAATGCGCGGGGAAATTCTTGGCTATTGGAAGCAGGTCTGTTCTCTTGGAAACGATTCTCAAGGAAATCTGTTTTCTTCCCGGATAAATGAGCCTGGGATAGTCTGGAAGAGAAGGAGTCCATGCCGATGCATGCAATATATGTATTTATGAGAGCTCCCAGATATTCTGGGCCCAGGACACCTTGGATCCTGCGTTAGTAGCGATTAATTACCTAGTATTATTTTGACGGCAGTGTAATTTTTGGATAGATTTTTGTCAGGCTCTCCATCCCGGTGGCTGCATCTGCTTGCAGATCAATTACACCTTAAAATTACTTAATAATTTCTCAGACATTTAACGTCAGAACTATCCCATTTTTTCCAGTACACCAGAATCACATGCTATATTCACTGCAATGATTTAGGGACAAATCTACGAAAGCATCTTTGGCGCATTTTTTTTCCTCCTCTCTAACATCACATTTGTCCCGACCTGACTCTGAAAATCAACTGTTTCTTTATTTTTAGTTTTCGTATAAGTGAAGCAGTCGCTGTCGTTTTGAGCAGCCTGCCGGGTCAGACGATTGTAAGTTTGCTTTGATTTTGTTTCAGAAATATAATATTATTTTTTCCATTTCTCAAATTCTGACGGTTTTGGGGGAACGGCCAGAAAGGCGAACTATTTTTTCTTTCGCCAGGTATGAGGATGTAGCTTCTGTGGGAATATAGAAACCACCTGCGAGCTAGAGTGAACATGTTCCTTAGCCATAACCGCGTTCCATAACGGATGAAGGTGAGTTTGGCTCCCCGGGAAAAGCCAGGCACCTCTTCGCTTTGGTTTGGTTCTTGTTAACGAGACAAAACCGAAAAAATGAAGATGGGCTGTCTTGCCAAGATGTGTCCCAAACCCGAAGGAGGCGAAAGGAAATGTTGATTATGTCCCAAGTTTTCCTGCCCCGACATCGGAAAGCCCTGTTTCCTTGCATCTCTCCCCCATTCTCCCTCACGACAGGTGACCCCAGCACTATCCTCTGGCTCTCAAAGCGAATCGAACGACTCGGGTTCCACTCACGTTCCCTCCGCCGGGCAGAGCCGCCCCGCCAGCCCGCCCGAGGGACAGGCAACGAAGTGTGCCTTGGGTGCTGCATCGCGGCCGCAAGCCGCCCCGTTAAATTATTGCTGCAATTAGCACTGCTACCCCGGGGCGTGGGACCAGCCCGTGGATGCTCACCAGGCAGTCAAGGCAAAGGAGAAAAAAAAAAAAACCAAAACCAAACGCGGTGGCTTGTTGTTGTTGTTGTGGTTTTTGTTTTTGTTTGTTTGTTTGTTGTTTTAGGAGCTGATTGCAAAACTCCTCTGGCCTCGCTGCCGTGCAGGGCCCGTGGGATGAGCAGCACGGGGGGACGGGCCCGTTTGCAGCTTCGGTGCCGCCGGAGGCCGGGATCCCTCTGTCATCCAGCGAGCGCTGAAACAACTCAAAAGGAAAAGCTGAACTCCTCGCACTAAAGCCCTTCACCGCCGGGCTGCGCCCCAGGAGGGCGAGGGA